CGCATTTACCTACACTGAATGCAGCTGTCAGGGGTAAAGGATCCGCCTGCCAATACAGGAGAGGCGTTTAATCCCCGGCTTGGGAGGATCCCCTGGAGAAGCAAATGGCAACCCGTTCCAGTATTCTTGCCTGGGAAATCCCATGGTCAGAGGAGCCTAGCAACTGGATTCCTTACCACTGAAAGTTGTGTTAAGTGTGGGTAAATGCATGCACATATGCATGCATGTACTTGCTTGTGGGGTACGTGTGTGTGTCTCAAATTCATTTTGTCCTGGCTCTTACTGAGCTTGTGGATCTACCAAGCCGTGAGGTGTTTTTCATATGGGGTTGCAAGAGAGTCAGACACAACTTATCGACTAAACAACTACAGCAGCAGGACCTTAGACAAAATGAATAGTACATACCCAAATTAAATGACAGAATAAACTAATGTTCTTTTTACCCACCACACTGAACATCTTACATTTAACTTGAGGATACATTTTAAGAGTTATTGACAATTAAATTTTTTCCCCATTTTTTAATGACCAGGATGCTGTGAAAAATAAAAATAACCCACTCATATATGTTTTTGGCTTTCCATCCATTCTTCCAAGACTCTGAGCTCTGCTAATTTAAAGGTCCTAGATCTCAAGTGAGAAATGATCCCATGTGGACACAACCACTGTTTCACTGAATGGGCATTTGAGGGACTGGCTTTGGGGGCTCTTTCTGCCACTGAACCAAGAAGAAAGAAGTAGATTATTATACTGTTTCTGGGTATTGATTGCAGGATTTCAAGGAGAAATCAGATCGGTGGAGGGTAGGGAGGTCTGAGTTGGGAATCCAGGGAACTGCGTGTGCTAACAGCTCCATGCCCAGGAGTAAAGGTAAATGCGCAGTCGTTACACTAATAAAGGCAGGGCCACTGAAGACGGACATCGTTCAGGAGTGAAGCCTTGGTGCACACCCTCCAGGAAGGAAACCCAGATCACCGGGGTGCTGGCTGAGGGCAGAGGGGCCATGGAAGGAGACTTCTAAAAAGAGCATATTATACACGCAAATTGCAGACTTGTGACAAATAATAGAAACAAAAACCATAGCAGCCAAGCATATTTCCTTGGTTTTGTATTTATTTGTGTATCATTTACCAATTTTTATTTTCCCTCTCTTTTCTCCTGTATAAGAAATGTTGGGGATGATTGCCTGTAGAGTTAGAAAATCCAGGTGGAAGAAAAATTAAGATCATCTAGAGACAGAAATGATGACTGATGAGACCTTGGGTCTCCTCTTTGGGGAGAACGACAGCATCTTGAATTATTTAAGTGTTATTTGTATGATACTGTCATTGTCACTGCAAAGTTAAATATAGGGTACGAAGGGGAGGATAAATGCTGAATGACTGAAGAATAGGATTTCTCTGTTGGCCTTTAGCTCCATGCTTGTCCTTCTGTGCTTTCCACGATAATTCAGACAAAACTGTACATCCTAGATGCCCTTGGCAGCTAACTTCTCATTATGGGATGTGGAAGAAATGGAGAAACTTTTTCTTTCCCTGCCTCTTACTGGACAGTGGCAGTAGCCAAGGGTCATGTCCAAGTTACTGCTTTTCTCCTTGGCAACACGATTTCAGAAGCATCAGTAGCAAGTTCTCAGCAGCCTCAGAGGTCAGTGGTCATGAGCTCTTAATTATACATTTTCCTTTTTTTCCCCCTTTCATCTGTAAGAGTGAAAATGGCTTCCTGTAGTATTACTCTCTGGATAACTTCACATTTTCCTCTTTCTGCACTTCTAGGCTTTCCAACCCTTTGATCACCAATTCCCAATATTAAATTCCATCTGTTTGAAATAGCTAGTAGGAGAGTAATACTACGGGAAGCCATTCTCACTCTTACAGATGAAACAGAAAAAAAAGGGAAAATGTATAATCATTTAAGTTAAATGTTTTTTTTTCCATTTATTTTCATTAGTTGGAGGCTAATTACTTTACATCATTGCAGTGGTTTTTGTCATACGTTGAAATGAATTAGCCATGGATTTACATGTATTGCCCATCCCGGTCCCCCCTCCCACCTCCCTCTCCACCCGATCCCTCTGGGTCTTCCCAGTGCACCAGGCCCGAGTACTTGTCTCATGCACCCAACCTGGGCTGGTGATCTGTTTCACCCTAGATAATATACATGTTTCGATGCTGTTCTCTTGAAACATCCCACCCTCGCCTTCTCCCAGAGTCCACAAGTCTGTTCTATACATCTGAGTCTCTTTTTCTGTTTTGTATATAGGGTTATCATTACCATCTTTCTAAATTCCATATATATGTGTTAGTATACTGTAATGGTAATATGCTCAGTGCGGTGGGTAAAAAGTAGAGATTTGATTTCTCCATAAGCACAATCACTGATACAGATGAACCCATGGCCCAGCCTGTGCAAAGAAAAAACATGGAGTAGATTGGAAGAGGAAGAGAATGGTCATAGACAGACAGGACAACATAGAGAGATCAGATAAAGTCTATGAAATCAAGGACAACATACTGTCATTCTCTGGTGCCTGGCAGCTTCGGGGGGGTTATAGGGTCCAGCGTGTGGCCTTGGGAATAGTGGCTGAAGAGAAGTTTAAGTGTGGCTTCAGTCTAATGGATGAGCTCTTTTAACTGTGATGCAGTCATGCCACCTTGTTCACTCACATGACTATAGAAATCAAGAGCAAAAAAATGCCAGGATATGAAATGGGAAGAAAGACGAACACATGTCAGACCATGCCTCCTAAAATATGGTGATAATTTTTTATTAAGGAAATATATTTTAACAGGATACTGATAATAACATGAATTATTTCTCCTTCTTCAAACTGCCAGACAAATGCATAATGAAAATGTCAGAGATTGCTCTGCCTACCATAGCAAGCAAGAGCTTTAGAGCTGCAGGCATTGAGTTAACATAAACACGTGTATCTGGGTTTGTAAGCATACTGGAAAATAAGCACGCACTTTTCTCCAGGTATATAAAATACAAACAATAAAAGGTCATTGATTAATATGTGCCCTTGGCTGAAGTCATTGCAGCCCTTTTAAAAGTCATATGATATAAACATTAAAAAATCCCACAAGATCCAGTGTTTAATGGTCCTGCAAGTACATTATAATTCACCTGTACACTTCCAGAAGGACATGAAATTATCATCAGTAAATAATGGGACTAAGAAGACCGCCAGAAATTTATACCTCACTCTAGAGTGCTGTTCAGAATTATTCCATTTTACGCTGTATTTAGGTATTGGTTTCCTTTTCTTTGTTGAAATTTTTGTAATGATGGCGCCATTGGTGTTACCTGGCATTTCTCTTCTAGGAAACACAAGAATAGCACCAACACATTAATTTGGTATAAAAGACCAAAACTTGTGGCTGTGTTATGCTCTTAAGAAGTCAACACTCATTTATCTTATAGCTGGATTTACTAAGGAAGTGTTTTTTTTTTATCATATTCATATACTCTGTAACTTCCTTATGTCCACAACTGTCCCAAAGAGAAATCATTAGAATTGGTATTTTACCCTGGAGGATATATATTTTGCTTTTTCCCTTTATGACGAACGCATTACTGTGGATCCCATTAGACGTGTTTCATAACCTCCATGTCCACCTGCTGCAGCGGAGCTCTGTGTCCAGTCATTCTTTCTCTGCACGATTGCAAGTTTTATTTTCAGTTGGTAACTACAATTAGAGTCCCCCAAGTTCAGCAGCTTAAAATTTTTATGTAGGCTAAAAATGGATAGTGGGGCACAAGACTAGGATATGGATACTTCAGGGTGAAAAATTTACCTCCCCAAAGATCTTTAACTGTAGGCTGTTTCTTGAAGTAAGCATAGATGTTAAAAGTAACTTTTAAAGATTTTACCAAAGTCAACTAATATTTGATTACAGATATTCTCGGTTGTGTACTGTGATCTCTTCTCCATTCTTCTGTATTTCTGCTCATCTGAATTTCGCTTCTTGGGCTGCCTTTTGCCTCTAAAAACTTGTTACTCCGAGGATACCAGACAAATCTGTATGGAAGTGTCCATATCATGGAGGTTGGAAGACAAAAAAAATAAAGGGCATTGGAATAAAAGCAAGATTGCCAGCTGCCAGTTGTTATCAAGGACACAGCTGAGCAAAGAGTCAGACAAAGGTAGAAATGTAGAGAATATTTTCTCCAAAATAAAAATAGCTTTATTGTTTTCTGATAATAAACGTGATACATGCTCATTATAAAAATTTCAAATACATAAAAGCCTAACAAAAGTAATGATCACCCAAATACCACAGCCCAGAAAGAAACCATTACTAACTTTCTAGCAAAGATTTCTCTATGAAACATATATTATTTAAAAATATCTAGTATTATAAATGGGCTCATATTAAACATGCTATTCTGTGGTCTGCTTTTTCATTCACTAACATTTCAAGGACAAATTTTCCATAGCAGTAAACATAGATCTAAACAATTTTAAATCAGGCAGATGCGTATAACTCAATTATAGACTTGTGCTATAATTTATTTAATCTGTCTTCTATTGAAGGATATGTACGCTGTTTCCAGTATTTTAATACCATAAACATTAAAAAGTACCCATTTGCCCTCATGTTTACACACTTGTGAAGTTTTTATTCATTAGGATGAATTCCTAAACAAATTTCTGGGTAAAAGCAATGGGTAAACAGAACCATTTAAAGTTTTGATACATACTGTCTTCTAGAAAGGCTGTACCAATTTCCACTCCCACGAACAGTGTAGGAGGGTTCCCTTTCCTCCACACCCTCTCCAGCACTTGCTGTCTGTGGATTTTTTGATGAAAGTCATTCTGACTCGTATGAGGTGGTATATCATTGTAGTTTTGACTTGCATTTCTCTAATATAAGTAATTCCTTTTCAGAGCAGATATGTCCTGGGCTTAAATAATTTTCACTTTGTATCCCCAGTCCATCACTAGTGTTACTTAGGATGAGAGTCAACTTCTTTGAACCTCATTTTCCTTGATCTTATAGTAACAGAACACAGCTCAATAGTTTAGATGATGTGTGACTGCAGCTTGCACACCCAAATATTAACTGAGTCTGACCTTCCTTCAAGTACACTCTTACTACCTTCTTACACTCCATCCCAATTAACTTCAGTCTGTAAGAAACTTTCAAAATTAAGGAGTCACTGAAAAAATTGGAGATATTCACGTTATTATATTTATAGAGATGACCATAAAAAATTGCAGTAAGGCAGATGACATCAATAAGAAGGTTCTTAAGTGAAAGTTTGCTGAGCAATGAAGGTTTGGGAGGCATCTTCAGAATAAAGGTGCTTCCCAAGAAAATACTTGCAACCCAATGGGCCATTAATATATCTAAATAAGTTGGGACATAAAGATGGAAGCAAAATACAAGAAACATCAGTTTCTCTGTCAAAATTCAAAATGTTGGTTTATCATTGCCTAGACATGATTTGGGAATGTTTTCCACCATGAGGCAAATTTATAAGCAGTGTACACAATTTTTAATTCTTCTTTTCAACAATGCCTCAGATATTAATATTTGAAATTAGACTTTCAACCAAGAATGATGAAGTGGAACTATTTAAACCAATCATTGACGACAGTCTAGATATTAGAAAGACAGACTCTGGGTGCAAACTAGATTACAGTGTTGAGATACTAGATACCAATGATACTGAAGAGGTTTGAAGGATTATTCGATTCAGTCATTCATTTGGTGGGTCATATTATGTGTCAGGTACCGTGCTAGCCATTAAGGATACCAAAAAGAGCAGGATATAGCCTCTACCCCCAGGGAAGTTTCGGTTTAATGGAGGAGAGAGAAGTCAACAGGCAGTTCCAGTGTGGGGTGAGGGTGTGGTGAGGCATGTGTAGATGCTTCAGATTTCTCACTGGAAGCCTGCTGAAGATGGTATCAGTACTAGTAATCTCTGCCTCCTCCTTACTCTTTTAGCCCTTACTTTTGGTTCCAAAAGTTTGTGGTTCAAATAACAGATGTTGTAATAGAACCGTTAACTTGGGCAGATGCCTTTTCATCCTTAATAAAATGTTTGCTCCTTACCTGATACTCCAGTAGTTAACACAGTACCTTGATTCTGGCAGATGCTTCATAAATGCTTCTCATGTAACTTTCACTTCCTAGACTCACTCTATCTCAGGTCATAAAAGCTGTTTTACACAAGCTGTTCTACCACCCCATGAAACTCCACAATGACACAGTGGGTCACAGATCATTACAGCAATTCTCCAGAAGCCAATGAAATTGACGATGCCAGAAATCCCATCGCTAACTTCAAAAACAACAAAACGCCTTCATGTTTTGGAGACTATAAAATGGGACAAAAATCTCTCAAGTAAATAAGATCGACCTGAAGGATAGCCCATGGTACATTACAAAGATGAAGGTGAGTGAGATTCTTTACTAATCTATCTTTACTGATCATAGGAAACACTTGGGGATTCATTCTTGGTTTCTTCATGTGTCTTAGTCTTTACATCCTGAGGCCACTAAAGTATCCTCTTATTGCCTATAGCAGGATGGGAGATTTAATTCCTACCAGTTAACACCTATTAACAAACCCATTAGAAGGCAAATCTAGTAAGGAGGACTGGGTCACTCAATAGAAAATTATTTCTAACCACAGTAGTATCTGCTTACCATATTGTTAATGAGGTTTTTGCCAGTTAATCTGACTTGGTTTTTAAGATGTCCAAAAGAGTCACACCCAAGCAAGGGAATCTAGTAAAAAACATCATTGATGAATAGTATTTCTAGACCTTCTACTCAATGCTAAGCCAACTTTTATGCAATAGATTGGGAGCTAGCAATCTGTATTTTTTAATAAGCCATCCATGTCATTTTGTTGCACACTAAAGTTTGACAGACGCTGCTTTAAGTCAATTAAGCAAGTTCCAATCAGCATCATAACAGATTACACATGTGCTGAATAATGGTGTGGGCCTGGCGTCAATCAGAACTTCCTAATGATTTCTCTTTGAAGGTACTGGGGGATTCAGATTCAAAGTGAAGAGCAGTTTAACAAAGAGTCAGTTCTTTATTATCTTGATTACCTCGTTTGAATTATCAGTGGCAACTTCATGCGATTCCAAGCTTATTTGCCCGATTCAGCCAAACTACATTCAGCCTACATAAGACAAGCTAAATCGACCTCAGAATGGCTAGCTATTTATAAAGCCAAATGTCGAAGACTTTCACTGCTTCCTGTGATTAACAAGGAATCAAGAGTTGGGTATAATCAAAAGAGTTTTCAAACTAGGCCAGGTCATCACAAGAAGTAAGATCAGTGAAGTCTAGTGCAACCCCTTCCCCGATAGTCTCAGCATAGGGGCACCATGAACACATACTTCATGCTCAGATGGGGAAGTCAGGATGTGTCAGCAACGGGCAGTCAGGATGTGTCAGACCAGCCTGACACAGAGATGGCCTCTCCCAACTGCTTGCCTGGGGCTTTTATTTGACTTGTCAATGAGGCTACAGCTTATTGTGTTTTGACCCTCACTTCCTGCCCTAAGATCCTTTTTCCCAGAACCATAGCTCCATGTTTTGGACCTTGGTCTGTTAATCTGACCCTGATTTCTGATGACTTCCTTCTTTGGATAATTGCTCTTGAATCTGGACTCCAATCTGACAATCATTAACCCAACTGTACTGATTCACCGAAAAAAAAAAAAAACAAAAACAAAAAAATGGGCCTATTCTCTTGATACAGAGAAAACTAGAGCTCTGCCCTTATATGGTAAACATCCTGGAGAGGGAGATTCTGTAAATCCTCTGGAAATGGTTTTCATGAGTGTTTCTGTCCATCATCATAAAGACAGTCATTATCCCTACTTGGTTAATTTACTCAGGAATGTCTACTATAGCTGAATTTTTGATTATGTGGGTTCAGAGAGATAATGTCACTCAATTTAACTTATAAGGAAACACCTGCTCTGTATAGGATACCATGCTAGGCCCAGAAGAGATGGACCCTACACAGTCAGGGAGTGTGATAAACACAGTAATGGTCCCAAAGATGTCCGTGTTCTAATCCTGAATACACAACTTTAAAGGAGAAATGGGACCCTGCAGGTGTGATTAAACAAAGGATCTTAAGATACAGAGATTTTCCTGGATTAGCTGAGTGGGCCCAATGCAATCACAAGGATCTTTTGGAGGGCCAAAGTAAGAGAAAGAGGTGATGAAGAAGAGCTCAGAGAAACAGAAAGAGAGATCTAGACTTAAAGATGTGACAGTACTGGCTTTGAGGATGGAGGAAGAAGGCATGAACCAAAGAATGCAAATCGCATTTTGAAGCTAGAAGAGGCAAAGGAATGAACTCTCCCCTAGATCCTCCAGAAGGAATGCCAAGGACTTCTGACCTCCAGAGCTGTGCAACAATTAATGTTGTTTTAACCCAGTAACCTACTGTTGTGATGACAGTAGGAAACTAATACAGGGAGTTTATTATCTAGTAAGAGAGAGAAGATAACATAGGTAACTTTGACATGATTCAGAAAGTGACAGGTATAAAACAGAAAGGCAAGGAAATTGCTACAGATGATACAAATAAACTTACTTACAAGATATAAACACACTCAGGACACAGAAAACAAACATCATTATTAAAGAGGAAAGGAGGTTTAGGAGTTTGGGATTAGTAGATATAAACCATGACATATAAAACATAAACAACAAGGTCCTACTATATAGCCCTGGAGGAGGGCACGGCAACTCACTCCAGTATTCTTGCCTGGAGAATCCCATGGACAGAGGAGCCTGGCGGGGTACGGTCCATAGGGTCACAAAGAGTCAGACACGACTGAAGCAACTTAGCAGACATGCACCTACTATATGGCACAGGGAACCATATTCATTACCTTGCAGGAAACCATAATGGGAAAGAATATGAAAAAGAATATGTGTATAGATACATATAACTGAATCACTTTGCTGTATGCCAGAAGCTAGCATTGTAAATCAGCAGTACTTCAATAAAAAATCTTTAAAAATGGGGGAAAAAAAAGAGAAATGGCTATGGAAATGCTGATAAAGTAAGCAATATTGGCTGGAAAGATTAGGAAAGCTTCCTGGAGGAGGCAATTATGGTGGGCCCTGAAAGATTGGCTAGAAGTTCAAAAGGGAGAGATCTAGTAAACACTAGGAGTAAAGGCATAGAGTTTGTGTCAGACAAAAAGCTGACTGAGGCCTTTATGACCAGCCAGTTTCTTCGGAACAAGAATTATTTGATTACAATGTCATAGTCTACTCAGGATATAACAGTCTCTAAGTATGTAAAAAATTATAATACTAGTCAACAACTATATTATATGAAATAAACTAAGAGTTTAAATACAGAAATACAGATCTTGGGCATGTAATGACCAAGGGCGAAACTGGTTCATCTTCACATACGCAGACTTGACAGGGATGAAAGAAACATACTAAGAGTCAATCGAAATAAGCAAAAAGGCAATTCTTTAAAAAGATTTCTATTAACATTTGCAATTAGACATTTCCTGCAACCTCTGCAAGCAGGCTAAACCAAAGCAATGGAATCCAACTGAACTAAACATACTTGGAGGCAGATCGGAGGCGCTGAGGACCCACATGGATGTTGACAGAGAAGACACTGTAACCCAGTTCCTTTCTGGCAGGTTTTGACCACTCTGTCTGTCTGAAGTCGGAGTCCACGATCTTAAGTAATTCTGAATGGTTTTAATTTAGCTCAGGTTGGCTCATGAGGCAATGATCCTACTAAAACAAACTTTTAAGCCACTCTGTTCTACAAGTTGGAAGGGAAGGAATGGAATGGGATTGGTCACACTGTTGATGGGCATCAGCCACATGTATCATCCCTTATCCTGCAGCACTACTGATGAAGACAGTGGCTTCCCCAGATGAGACCTTACTCAATGCCTCAGCAATTCTTGCTTTCTTCTTTATCCTCAGCAGAAACTGATGCCTTTCTGTACTGTTCGCATTCATTCCAGGAAAATACGGAGGAACAGCTAGTCTCCACTGGCCTGCTCCTATAGGAAAGGACTGGAGCTTCTGCAGAAGGGTCCGTATGCACACCGGGGGCCCTCAAGTCCAGGGATGGAGTTGCACACTTTGGAGACCAGCTTTCCTCCCAAGGAGGCCCAGACCCACTGGGAGTGTCCTCATTCCCCCTACCCCCCGTCTTTTTGTCAAAGCCCAGGAATGTGACCTCAGACTGGCTGCATTCAAAGGGAGTCTTCTGAGTCATTCTGTCTTTTCTCAAACTTTGACCATGAGGTGGCGATGGATTATTCTGGTTTTCATCATCTTCCACTGGGATGCTCGGCACATTATCAAAGAACAGAGGAGAAGGACTTCTGAAGGACTTGAGGGATGTGGGAGGATCTTCCACAAAATACAAGCTGGCTTGAGTACTTTCAAGAATATTTAGGACCTGAATAACCAAGAAACAAACACACACTGAATGAAGTCTGAATAACCTCTCCTTTAACCTTTTTTTCTGTCTGCCTATTAAGGACTATTCTCTTTTTTCATGAAATAAGTTTAATTAATGTGGGAAGCCTGGATTTCATCCCTAAGTTGGGAAGATCCCCTGGAGGACGGCATGGCAACTCACTTCAGTATTCTTGGCTGGAGAATCCCATGGACTGAGGCTACAGTCCATGGGGTTGCAAAGAGTTGGATACAACTTAGCAACTAACACTTTGTCTTTATAGAATTTGAAGTGAGAAGGAATTAAAGATTAGCTAAAATTCTTCATGTTAATAACTACATTAAATGACTTTAAGCAAAGTAGAAAAGCCACTGAACTGAATTCAACATCAAGAGATCTGGAGTGTCTTGCTGGTCCAGTGGTTAGGAGTCTGCCAGCCAATGAGGGAGAAACGGGTTTGATCCCTCGTCCAGGAAGATGTAACATGCTGCAGGGCAACTAAGCCTGTGTACCACAACTATTGAAGCCTGCACACTCTAGAGCCCATGCTCTGCAACAAGAGAGGCCACCACAATGAGAAACCTAAGCATCGCAACTAGAGAGGAGGCCCTGCTCGCTGAAACTAGAGAAAGCCCAAGAGCAGAAATGAAGACCCAGCGCGGCCAAAAATGATAAACGAGTTAAGTAAATAAAAATTTTTTTAAAAAACAAAAGAACTGACTTTAGGCCCAGATTTGCCACTAACTACTTTGTGACCTTGGACAAATCTCTGATTACTTTTCACTTCAGTCTTAATATGTGAAAGATTGGAAGGGGTCAGGGAATAGTGAACCCAATCCATAGTTCTCAAATACTAGAACTACCTAGGGAAGCTCTCTTAAAATACCTTGAAAATCTCTCTTAAAGATTCCTTAGACTAACCTAAAGATGCTCATTCAAAAAATATGGAGATGGGAGCCCAGGAATCTGTATTTTAAAAACTTCCCAGTTGATTTGGATGTGCAGCTAAATTGAGAACCATTAACCTGATATAAAATCACATCACTTCACACATACATGTAATTTAAAAAATACATATAAAGAGCTTTATAATTTACAAAGTGTTTTCACACACACCATCTCATTTAATCTGCACAAACATTATTATCCTCACTTTATAGATGATAAGGCTGAGTGCCTTTCAGAAAAGGGAATCACTATCACAAGCCAGTAAGGAGCAGACCTGTGGCTTAACCCCACGTTTCCTGGCTCCCAATTTCATGTTCTCTCCACTATGTAGTCAGAGCTCAAAACTGATAGTTACACAGCTCTTACTGGTGGTATCAGGTCTAGAACACAGCTCTCCTGATTCCCAGGCCAATGGTCTTTATATTCTGATTATGTCAACTCCTTGTTTAAAACTTTTCTGTGGCTCGACAACAGATTCAGGATGGAATCCAAATTCCTAGAATGGAATTCATGTCCCTCGATCACCTGGAACCTCCTATTATTTTAAAACAGTGCAGCATTTCCCTGGATGCAAGATTATCTGCAGTCTTGGTGCCATGGAATCCACTGCACCTCTGAGCCTTTGCAGGCATAGAGTCTCTCTGCCCGGAATATCCCTCCATCCTAAGGCCACCTAAATCCAACCTATACTTCAGATTATAACTCAGTTATCACCTCCATCAAGAAACTTCCTTGCTGGCAAATATTCTGACTCTATGCTCCCATACTGGCCTGTGTTCTCATATATTATGATGCTTATCTTCTTGCATCGAACTTTCATGTTTATCAGTATGACTGTCCATTTGAACTGTGATCTGAGAGCAGCAATTCAGTATCCTGATCACTGTTGCAACACCAGCACCTAGTCCAAAGTCTGGCACATGAAAGCAGGTACTAAATAAATATTTGTTTATTATAAGCAAATATCTAGATGATTAAATTGATGGGAAGACAAATAAGTTTAAAATTCAACAAGAGAAATACATGCTGCATTAAAAAAAAAAATTTTGGCCACACCATGTGGCATGTAGGATCTTAGCTCCCCAACCAGGGACTGAACCTAGACCCTGGCAGTGAATGTGCCTAAGTCCTAACCATTGAACCACCAGGGAATTCCCATTTTATTGGACCAGATCTCTTAATGAATGGTGAATAAAATCTTCTCTCCAAATTACTCATTTATGTCTTTTCATCAGGTTTTTTTTTTGTGGTTGCCCTGGTACTATCCAATGATGCCCTTTTCAGAGTACCAAACTTTCTGATTTAGAAAAGCTATCTATTAGGTGAGAAGACTCTGTTGGGGGCTGCATTTGTCACGCTGATATTCACTTAGATACACAGTTTATCCAGTTCAGATTTTCCAGGGCTCCACAGACTGTTTTTAACAAAATCACGTGTGTACGCACTTCATCCATTGATGGTCTTGATTTTGCCCGTGTTGCAGCACAGAGACCTGCCAAGGAGAACAGCTTGGCGGAAATGTTCCGTGGGCAGGGAGGCACTTTCTTATCGAGAAAGGAGATACATGAATCGAGGCCTCTTCTCTCCATCAACTCGACAAGAAGATCCCGCTAGGAAGAAAAGAGGACAAGCTCATCGTTTAGAACTCAGAACCGATCAAAGAGTGACCAAGAGACAGGGGCAGAGGCGGAGGCAACTCTTACCAGTTGGATATGCTTTGGCTCATCTAACACCACTTTACAACCTGTCAGAACTTCCATTATTACCTACAGGGAATATATAGAAAGTCAGCTACATAATATTAATAATATACACAATAATTATTATATTATTATTATATTATTATAAATATTATTAAATATTATTAATATTTTTAAAAGTGAAAGCAAAGTCGCTCAGTCATGTCCGACTCTTTGCAACCCCATGGACTGTAGCCTACAGGCTCCTCTGTCCATGGGGTTTTCCAGGCAAAAATACTGCAGTGGGTTGCCATTTCCTTCTCCAGGAGATCTTCCTGACTCAGGGATTGAACCTGGGTCTCCCTCATTGTAGGCAGATGCTTTACCATCTGAGCCACACTCGAAATGAGTTGTGGCTCTTTCTAAAAATTTTTAATTGAGGGATAATTACTTTACAATACTGTGTTGGTTTCTGCCATATATCAATATGAATCAGCCGTAGATACACGTAAGTCCTCTCCCTCTCGAACCCCCCTCCCACCTCCCACCCCAGCCCACCCCTCTAGGTGGTCACAGAGCATTGGATTTGTGTTCCCCGAATCATACACCAAATTCCCACTGGCTATTTTGCATCCTGGAGAAGGGAATGGCAACCCACTCCAGTATTCTTGCCTGGAGAATTCTACGGACAGAGGAGCCTGGCGGGCTACAGTCCATGGGGTCACAAAGAGTCAGACACGACTGAGTGACTAACATACACACACATATACACCTATTTTACAAATGGTAATGTGTATGTTTCAACGTTATTCTCTTAAATCATCCCATCCTTCCTTCCCCCACTGAGTCCAAAAGTCTGTTCTCTATGTCTGTGTCTCCTTCGCTGCCCTAAAAATAGGTTCATCAGAACCATCTTTCTGGATTTCACATATATGCATTAATATATATTTGTTTTTCTCTTTCTGACTTACTTCACTCAGTATAATAGGCTCTAGGTTCATCCACCTCATTAGAACTGACTCAACTATACTCTTTTTTATTGCTGAGTAATGTTCCATTACAGTAACATTCCATAGGCACCACAACTTCTTTATCCATTCATTTGTCAACGGACATCGAGGTTGCCTCCATGTCCTAGCTGTTATAAATAGTGCTCTAGGTACATGAGTCTTTTTTCAGTTAACCTCAATACTGAATATAGTTCATTCTAATTAATCACTTTATGTTTTACTGTTTGACGACATAAAATTAATGTCTTGATATAAGACAATGAGTAACAGGAAATCAATAGGTCTAAAAGTTAAAGTCTTTAAAACATTTCTTAGAATTTAGAGCATTCTTGGTGGTAAACTCTTCTCCTTCATTAACTGGTAGCTGGTACTTACAATTCCAAAGCTGTAGACGTCTGTTTTAATGGAAAGTTTGCCTTGTCTGATATATTCTTCTGGCATGTACCACACATGCTTACTGCTGCTGCTGGTCATGCTTATGGCAGAGCTTTGAGGTTCTAGGTGAGGTCGAAAGTGGGCCATGGCAAAATCAGTTAGTTTGGGTTGAAACTGATCATCCAGAAGTATGTTTGCACTGAAATTGTGATCATGGGCAGACAAGACAAAAACATCATAAAGGTATTCCGGCGGAAAACAACAGGACAAGCTCGCTTTCATATTTGGTCAATCCCAAATAAAGTCATACATTACTTTCCATGAATTTTTTAGAGGAGATTTTCTCATTTTTTCTCAAAGTATAAATCCAAGCATTATATAAAACCTAAAACAAAAACCTGACCTTGGAACAGCAGGCATTTCAAATTTACAGGTCTATATATGGAGTTGGTGGATGAAGCTGATGCTTCGTCAATAGGAGAAACTAAAGTTAACCAAAGCAGCTTTCCTTGTGTTCTACTTACATGCAATAAGAACATTAAATAAGTTTTAATCAGATAGTAATTAAGTATCTGACATGCACAGGGCTGTGCTGTGGAATGCTTGGCTTAGAACCACTAAGCCAATACATTAGAGCCAGATCCTACTTTGCTCTAGCTCTAGATTAGAACAGACATGTAGTTCTTAATGACTTCTTGCCCAGATGTACACTTCACTTACTCAGATCAAAGCTGGGGCTTCTGGAGATGCCCTGATCACTGGGTACCTAATGCAGGAGTCTGCCACATGTGCCAGGAGGTGAGGTGGGCAGACAGTCCCATTAACTCTTATTATCGGGACCCAAGCTTCTACTCCTCCAACTTCTCTTCTGAACCCCCTGCCCTACCACTGCTCCCCACTTTATTTCAGCAACAAGAGGAGGAATGCAACGATCTGAGTGCCAGATTTTCAATGTCAAGCGTCTCATCCTCCTTTCTTCTTCCATCCCAGCTTTAAAGAACCTAAACTTAACTTAAACCATAACTTAAAAGAGAATGCAAAAAGTTGAATTTGTGAAACACTTAAAATCCCTAAAGAATAGGTCTTTCCCAAGAACAAAAGGGGAAAAAAAGCAGCAACAACACTCATAATCTAACCCATTTATTTGATCCTCAGAAAAACTGGGGAAGTTTGCAGCGACTGGTGACTTATACTTCCGTAAGAGTTAGGCAGAGGGGAGCTGAGTAACCACAGCATGTTACACAATAAAACCCACAGATGACTCTGGGTCAGTGAAAGGCCATCAATAAGAATGCGAAATTGTTCCAGGGCACTGCATTCACACTTTGAATAATGGTATTTGGTGAAAAGACAAGTTGTTTACCAGCAGACTTTAGTGCATAACATAAATTTTAAGTTCAGTGATTTACTCTGTTCTAAATAAAGGTTAATGGCAGCTGAGGAAGAAGGATGTTCTGTTTCAGGAAAGTGGGAATTCCAAAAGGCCCTTCAACAATCAATTCTACTCAAACTCTTTCTCCTGCTCAACCTCAAATAGAATATTCAGACATAAAGTGCCTTCAGCTACCTTGCAGGTCAACTGAATACATTCATTCTATGGGAGTAAAAACAGACTAACAAAATAAAGACAACATAAAGTAACTAAAATCTTGTAACAATATAATGCAACAAACAGGTGCTGTGCAGGCCATGCTTAATCACTTAGTCATGTCCAACTCTTTGTGACCCCATGGACTGTAGCCCGCCAGGTTCCTCTGTCCATGGGGATTCCCCAGGCAAGAATACTGAAGCGGGTTGTCATGCCCTCCTCCAGGGGATCTTCCCAACCCAGGGATCGAACCCAGATCTCCTGCATTGCCAGTGGATTCTTTATCATCTGAGCTACCAGGGAACAGGTAAGAAACACCCAATGGCCCACACCTTTGATTTAGTGTTTCTACAACCTATTTCTTCTAGTCTTTCCCACAAGCTACTTTTGGTAGCAGAGAGACCATCAGCTCTCTAGATAACTCTTCTGGCAGAAGGACTAGTCATGGTTCACAGTAAGGTGATGGGAAAAGTCTCAGACAAAGTAGTGAGTTTGTATTCTGAATCTGGGAATGTTAGTTCATCTCTCTATGGCTAGGGGTCTCTAGGACAATTCTTTCTGGGTACTTAAGCCCTTCCAAAGTTATGAGAATTGCTTTCTTTGCTTACATTTGTCTCCTAATTTAAAGTTGAAGTTCTTGAGCCTTAAATATAAAGCAAGATGATACACCTAGATTATAATGCAGGATCTGAATCTAAGTGCAGATTTTATGTTTGACATGTAAGTGCATGATTGGTTTTTAAGGATATATATTTTTAATTTTAGGAAGAGTTATTGGTGCTCAGTAGCCCAGTCCCTGAGTACTTTGCAATACTCTGGAAAAGTCCAGACTTCACTTAATTGGGTTCAGAGACAAAGAGCACCTCATTGGGTTCTAAACGACTGCCTGAGGCAACAGGACAGCTTGCTGTCTGTTTCACTGCTGTTTGAAGCAGTAAGACACCCCTCACCAGATATCTTGCCTTCCCTCACCAGATGTAGCAAGACACAGTTTCCGTAGAAACCTGCAGATCACTGGGAGAAATCATACACATCCTTCCCCCACCAACATCAGTGTGCAGTATATCCAGCATCAACGACACAAACCTGAAACCCTGACTCCCCTTTTGGCGTAAACAGCCTTCTCGATCTTTCTCATTGACCTAGGCAGCACTTGGTATTATGGCTTGTTTTTGCTTTATTGGTACCTTATGAGTCCTAGGCTCTCTTGAGTAAAGGCTTAGTCAAGAAGGGGTAAACCTCCTTTCAATGTGAAATTTCATCTCTCTGATCAAACTAGCGCAACTTTTCTAAGCCTTGATTTCCTTGCAGGTAAAAAGATCTGATAATGCAGACCTCACAGGGTTGTTGTGAGGGTTAAGTGAGGAAACCTAAGCAGAGTGCCTGACGCACAGGGAGAGCCTTGGAATTTGCTCTGAAGGATATAAGCTGCCCACTGTCCATCCTATATTGGTCACTTTACCTGAAAACCCCACTGGACCTGGCTGGGTAACTCTAGAAGTTTAAGGACACCACTTTGATGTAACAAAAGTAGAGGGGTTGCAGGATAAGCCTGGAGATCTGAACATCCTTGGGTTAATCAGTTTCAAGGCATCAGCTATATTTCAAAATAGTTCCAGAGAAGTGTTGGAAGAGCCTGACTAAACTAATATTCTCAGATATTTTAAGACCATGGGGATAAACATATACATATTGTTTGGTGTGTATGTGTGCAGGCATGTATGTGTCCATGTATATAAGTATACACTGGAGCTTAGAGACAGTAGTGGTAAATAAAATTCCTAGGGGGAGTTTTAATTTATGTAACATTTGTTTTGGCATCCCTTAGAAAAAAATGAACATATATGGATATTTTAGAAGAAGGCAGGCACTAGCAGGAAAATAGAAAAAACTCTAAGGAAAAGAATTACTATATCTAAAATGTTTTTGAAAAACAAAAGTAGTTTTCTTGGGGGGGTAGGGGAAAATGGAGAGGGAGGAGACTGATGGTTAATTAAACCACCAGTCAAACAAACATTTGCATTCCCTGCAGGCTTTCTATCCCTGCTAAACCCTGAGCTGGAGCCCAGCAGCCTCACCACACACATCAGGTCTTGGGAGTGAAGGCAGGAGCTTGGGTCCTCCGGTAAGGGTGACGAGGTCACAGGAAGAGCCCCTCTGCGGTCCCCCATCCCCTTCCCAACCACTCGGTCTTTCTGGCCCCTCACAAAGGAAATTCTCCATGCACTTACTACGCCCATACATCTCTGATCAATTTCCATTTTTTTTTTTCAAAATTCATTTTTAAGCGAATAGCCACTTCCTTCCTTTTTTTCTGAGACCACCTCCCTAGTAAGAGAGTTTGTTTCACTTGGCAGGAGACCCACAGCCATAGCAGAAGACAAAATGATCTTGTAGGAAACATTAGAAATGTTCCCCAAGATTATCTCCTCGCTTTGGCAACATGAACAAGAATGAATGTCTGGGATGAAAAATGCCAGGGATAAAACGCATTTCAATTTAAAATCGTTCATAAATGTGAAAACAATTAAGCTTGCTGAGGGATATGATGGAAATAACAAGAAGGTTTACTGCTTTCAGATGCTTTTATGTGATCCCGTAATTCAAAAACATCTTTGTTTCCCCCAATAAAAATGTGAGTGTCTTTTGCCAAGAATAAAGACTTCAACTCTTCAAGATTCTTTTCTTTAAATCCTTTTCCTCCTCAAATTCCACCATCTGGAAGTGAATTTTGTTTTTATAACATGCTCTTTGAAGAGTTCGAATTACTAAGACATTTTTGGGCTAACTAAACCAGCAGACTTCTTGAAAATAGCTTTGAAATGTGGGTTTGACTTCCTCCTTGGGTGTTCTGTGGCTGTGTCCCTGATAGTGTCTTCCTTCGAAGACTATTTACTCTCTGCTTGCACAAGGTGAGGATTCCAAATGCAGACCACCAGGCCTTACCTCCCCAGCCCTCGCAAAGACTGCAGCAGTTCTCACTAGAAGCCCAACGTCCACGTTTCCAAATTTGCACATACTAATTACGTTCTCCTCTTCTGCCCCATTTCCCTGTCTCTGCTGTTGAAACCAACATGCTCCCAGGAGTCTTGGCTTAATGACCTAATATGAGCATGCTGTTCCACTCACACAAGCATGGAACCCCGTCTCCTCTCCTCCATCTATCGGCATGTGACCAAGGCAGGTTACCAACCTCTGTAAATCTCAGCTTTCTTCTCTGTCAAACCAATGATAACACCAGTGATGTGTAAACTCCATCCTCTGGCTTTCACTGAGTTCCCTAATGCATCTCTGCAGCCTATCAGTCACAAGGAATGTACTAACACTTATCAATGCATCAATGCAGTCAGGACGCGTGTGTGCTTGCTAAGTTGCTTCAGTCGAGTCTGACTCTCTGCGACCCTATGGACTGTCATCCCCCAGGCTCCTGCCCGTGGGGATTCTCCAGGCAAGAGTACTTGAACGGATTGCCATGCCCTTCTCCAGGGGATATTCCCAACCGAGGGATCGAACCCAGGTCTCCTGCATTGCTGCATTTACCGACTCAGTCACCAGCAGGGAAGCCCAAGAATACGGGGGTGGGTAGGCTATCCCTTCTCCAGGGGAACTTC